GCGTCCGGGGGCGGAGGTGAGCGGGGACCCTACCCCCATCGTCCGCCGGCTCCGGGCCGCTCTCGCCCTATCTCGCCCCCTTCGGTTGGAGCCTTCTCGGGAGCTTCCCCAGCGCCGCTGGCTGAGCTTTGTTACGGGGTGGGGCTGGCCCCCGGGGTTCACGCTCGGGGCGGGGCTGGTAAGTGCGAGGCCGCGGCTAGGTTTTGCCTTGAGGTTTTTTGTTTGTTTGTTTGTTTGTTCTTGGCGTTGTACGGGTTGCAGCTGGCGCTGACCCCCCTGCCCCGGGCCCCTTTGGGATAGGACGGGTTAGAAATCCCTCCTGTTCTTAACCTGGTTATTATCACTCGGGATGTGAGGTGGCGAAGGGACTGCTGTGCCGCTACAAGTGAGTGAGGGGCGCGCAACACAACGTTGGCCGGGGTGGCAGCTGTCACCGGTGGGCACCTGCACAGCTACCAGGCACTTGCTTTGATGTGTGCTAATTAGTGCACCAGCTCAGTTAATCCAGCTGGATTAATCAAGTCATCTGGAGTGCTCTAATTAGCGCTCTCCAGCGGCCTGGGTGTCCCGTGTATTCAGCATCCCCGTGCTTCACCCTGGTGGCAGAGGCACTTTAACTAAAGCTCGTCCCGTGCTTTGACTAAAGCTGAGTACTCAAGACACTGCTGATGGAGCCACTCTAATTAAAGCACCCCCACCCTGGAGCACGTTTAAAAACACCCAGTATTCCCAAATGTAGATGAGCCGGCCCCATGGAGATTGAGCGCCATGCAGGCAGGAGTGAGACCCAGAAACATGACTGCAATGCTGGCACTGACTGCTGCAAGGGGAAAGGGAGGATGAGGATGGACTGTACCTGTTGGGAGCAAGGAATACTGGGTTGCTTGGTTGCTAGGCCTGGAGATCCCAAGAGATCTTTTCTGTCTGGGCCTGAGGCTCTTAGGAGAGTAGGGGTTTGACTAGGGCCAGTGGGATGCTCTCCTCCTCTGCCTTCCCACTGGAAAATGCAGCTTGTAAGTGCCCCACTTCAGAGTTTGAGTTGTGTGCCCCTATAGGTGTCATATGTTATAATACCCTTGTGGTAGGAGCGTATGCAGGTTGCTCTATATGACAGAGGCATATGCAGGTCGGATGGATGAGCATAGTTTTGCTGGATCAGGTCATGCTGCAGCTACCGTGCAGGGCTGGCCCAGTTGGATGCCCGCTGCATGTATCCCCCAATGCCAGCCCCCTGTGCCACGTGCAACATATGCGAGATGCTCTGCACAGGCTGCTTGGGTGCCCCACCACCAGATCAGCGCTGTGCACTGACCCTGAGGAATGGTCCGAATTGAACTCCAGGCTGTCCATGTACGCTGGCGCCAGTGTGCATGGCTGGTCCAGTGGCGTGCCCCATGCAGCATGCACCTCATAGACTACATGCAGAACAAACCCCAGTGCAGGAATGTGTTTGCTGTGCACAAGACTGCACTGGACACATGCATTGGACCAGGCCCCAGCATACAGGACCAATAGAGGCGCTATACCGATACATTGGCACCAATATAAGGAAAATTGACAGTATTGGCAATTGGCTTTTTTTGGCTGATGTGGCCAACAATGTAGCCTAGGAGGGCATAGGGGGCATGCGCCCCTGGATCTGTGCCCCGGGGGACAGCGGGCTGCCGCCGGGGTCTACACTGGGCTCTTCCTGGTGGGGGCTGGGGCAGGCAGCAGCAGTGCTGGGAGGCGGGCTACAGCTAATTTTGGGGTGGTTGCAGCCCTCCACATAGCCCTGCTCCCGGTGTCACTGCTGCCCAGTCCCAGTCTGCAGCTACAGCCCACCCTCGCCCATGCAGATCCGGGAGCACATGCCCCCCCCCCACTCCACCCCCATGCCCCAGGGTTCCTGCAGCGGCAGGAGCCACCCCACTCTCCCCGTGGTCCCCTCACTCTGTTCCGGCTCTGCAGCACCAGTCCTGCTCCATCCCTTGCCACGGGGCCTTGATCTGCTTCCCCACCATGCCCTTTCCCTCCTCCCTCACCCCTTGCCCCATAACAAACTTACCAGCCAGGCACTGCTCTCCAAGCTGCCTGGCTGCATATCGGGAATCAGATCAGTATCGACTGATATGGCTTGTTAAAAATTGGCCATCGGTATTGGCCCAAAAAATCTCTTATCATTGCACCCCTAAGGACCAGACCAGTGTGGGCGCCACATTAAACAGAGCCCAGACCTACTCCCTGTGCCACATGCAGTGCTCATGGCACTGCATCCAGCCCATGCACCAGACCAGATCTGCATGCTAGTCCAATACCCCGAGACTAGATCATCAGGCTCCACAGGCTGGATCTGGCCTACAGGCCATATGCTTGACACCCCTGCTTTATAATAGATGGACTGTACATTGTAAAGAGAGACAATAAAAATATTTACCTTGGTCAGCAGCGGAGCGATCATCATTAAAGCTTTATTGGAACAGAAGGGACACTATTAGGTGGATGTTTACCAGTTCGTATTGCATACAACTTAAAAGTTAGTAAAAAATTTTTTTTTTTTTCCAAATTTCCACGATTAGTTTATTTGACAACATCTGTAGCCACCCTGTTCCCCAACCAATGTATTTGTTCCTTTAAGGAAAGACCTGCATGAACAAAAATAAAATGCCCTTATTTTGAAGGGGCTCTACAAGGAACTTTAGAGGTATGGGGGTCTTCCAGCATGTGCCTGCATGTGAGAGATTCATAGCAGGGCCAGGTATCCTCTGAGAGCATCAAGGGGTGAAATAGCATCTTCAAAATCTCAGCTTTCAATCTTCCTTATAAGCCCATTCCAGCTAATTTTTTACAGTTTCTAACATCAACAATAAACTGTTGAAATCTGTGGTCAACTCTAGAGTATATCTTGACCCGCTAGTGCATTTCTCTTTATTCTTAATATTAAAGGCATCATTAAGCATGCTGGCTAATTCATAGAAGTGCAGAACACACTCAGTTCTTCATAGCTCCTTATATTTTTATGGAAAATTTAACATGATACTCAAAGTGCTGGTAGGCCCTGTTAACTGTTCAAGTGAAAGTCAGTTTCACCACTCTCCATAGCAGCCCTGAAATTGAGAGATTTTAGTCAATTTTATTTATATTAGTAGACTTAAAATTGATAACTCTTAAGTAGCAGTATTTTTCAGTGTGTTTTCACTTTCTAGCCCTGGTAGTTGAAATCAACTACTAGGTTTAACTGCCTGCTGTACTTATTGGGGAAAAATAGATTTTTGTCAAATAAGCCCACTCTGTAGCTTAGACCAATGCAACCTTTATCTCTGTCAATGAAACATCCCAGGTTGGTACTTGCTTAAGTAATAAGTGCAATAAATTATATTAAGTTTTCTTTACTGTAATTCAGCCAGTGAGTTGGTAGCAATAGACAATTGTCACCTTATGTTTGGTGTAGCCTGGAACTTTAACAGGGCTAGAGAGCATAGGACTAAAAGGAGGTGTAGTGCAAGTGAGAGAACTGCTTGTCGTAGTTTTACCTGATTGCTGCACGTTCTTCTGAGAGTTTGTGAAAGTTGCCTTCTCTCTTTTCATGTTAACTTCATGTTATCTTAGGGTAGAAATGGATGTTGTCAAATGAAATGGATCAGCTGTGCTGGGATACATCAGCACAGCTGATCTGCTTGATTGGGTGAAACATGTCACCTGTTGTCCTGCCTGTTGATGCTATGGGTCAATGAGTGATGTGTTCTGCCAGGCCTGGAGGGCCCAACTCCTGCATACCCTGGTAATTCCAATGCAAGATCAGGCCCTGGGAGCATCTGCCCAGTTTTTGCCCTGCTTGCAGCCCTCCTTCCCCCCCACCCCGTCCCCGCACAGATCTGGGGACCCCCCCCCATGCTCTCCCAGGGTGTGTGCAAGTGGCAGGAGCTGCCCCCTCCCTTTGTCCCTCACCCCGCCCCAGCTAGGCAACGCCTGCTCCAGCCCCTGCCCCACTCCCTTCATCACCGCAGGGACCTTGATCTGCCTCCCCGCACCCATTCCGTCCTCCCTCCCCATCTACCACAACAGACTTACCAGTGGCACACAGCTGTATCAGAAATCAGATTGGTATCAGCCGATATGCCTTCTTAAAAATTGGCTACTGGTATCAGCCCCCAAAATCTCTATCGGAGCACCTCTACTTCAGGCATTGGGAGACGCAGCGTAAGTTAGCAAACTGATAGCCCAGGTTGTTGCCTTCTGCATTCAATCCTAGCATGAATAACAGTCAATTTCGCTTCTCCTCAAGCAGGGTCTAGTTTCTGGCAAGTAGGGAAGAAGAGGTACCTGAGAGGGGGGGGAAAAAGAACAAAAGACAGAACAAATACACAACAGCAAACCTACCCTGATAGTAGTGTCATAAACAAAAGGTTCTTAATGCTTTTAGTTCCATATTGAGAGAAAATCTAAGCGTTAAATTTAAAAAAAATGGAAAAAAAAATTCACCAACTAGTAACTGATTATCAAAAAGAATACCTGCAGAAATTGATTTATCCCCAGGTTTATTAATCATTAGCTTTACATCTCAGCTTTTAAGTAACTGACCAGTTCTTCACAGAAAATGTTACATATGTACCAGTCAGTCAGCAGTGACACATTAGGATGTGTTGCCTTTGTGTATAGGCATAATTCGCATAACACAATGTTGGGTAATGAAGCAGAAGAACCTTCAATGAAGCTTAAATTGGAGGTGTCTTACAGTGTTTAGTTGGGTTAAAATACAAATAAAGCTACATAAATAAGTGGGAGAGTTTGAGAATTAAAATCACTGTACTTTTTGGGATTAAATGTGTGCGGGCCGGGAGCGACCCGAGCCCTTTTCCATGCTGCATGCGGGCTGTGGCCAGCAGCCCGGGCACGCCGGGTCAGAGAGGGAAGGCCGTTGAGCTGGAATTAGGCACAAACGCGTAGTGGTAGTTTTAAAAGATTGTTTACTTACACCGAGATGGCAGTGGTGCAGGCTGAAAACTTGCTTAAGTTGCAGTTACAGACAGGAAAGAAGAGAGGCGGACAAGAGTTCTAGACTCGTGAACTCTAGCCCAATCCGGCTGAAGGCTCTGAACACGCGAGCCTGTCGTCTCAACCGAAGAAAATACTCGTCCGAAAGAGCTCTGAATAAACTCACACGAAGTTTGCTAGGCTCCATGGGTCCTTCTGCTCGCTCATTCACACGAAGTTTGCTAGGCTTCGTGGGTCCAGTTCTTTTGCGCGCAGGAAGGGATACATCTGGACTGCGCTCGGCGACGGAGCGAGGCTAGAGGTTGATCAGACCTCCGTTGCCTGCTTGAAATGCACTGGGTCCGTAAGGATCCGCAGCGCTTAGAGATCTTCACACAGCATGAAGTCTCCTCCTCCCTTGTTCGTGGAGTCCTCCAACTTGGGCAGAAACCACTCAAGCCTCTTATACAGCTAGCAAGCCAATCACTAGCCGCCACGAGTGAATAATTTAGAACTGGCCAATAATGGGACTAAAATTAGCATACAAATGGCGGGAACTCTTTGCAATGAGCATTTCTGTGCTGCAACAAAGAAATGCACCCTGCAAAGAAAGCTTCAAATTGGCAGGAAATTCTCCCTTGCACCGGGGAGCTCTTTTGCAGCAGAAAACTCCACTGTGCAAGGAAGCTGTAATTTAGCGGGAACAATTTAGCAGTGCCGAAGCACACACAAACAAAAATCACACCCTTTGGGTTGTGACAAAATGTACAGTAACATGAATATTTTTTTAGGAAATCAAATACTTTCATGACCTGCAAATTAGCGATGCAACTAAAGCCTGCCACGTGTCCCCCTGGCTCCTTCCCCCACCATGCCTGTGCCTACTATCTATGTCCTCCCCACCACCACTTGCCTGCCCCATGCCCACTCGCCACCTGATTCTCCTTCTGCCTATACTTTCTACCATTTACCTACTGCAGCAGCAGCTCTGGCTCTTGGCTGTCAGTGGTGGTGGGCACAGCTCAGATAGCAGCATCAGCTCCAGGTCTAGTCATAGCTAGAATTGGAGCTGAAGAGAAGTGTGGAGGGGAGCAATCTTCCCACACACTGAATCCTGCCTCATGAGCCACCCTGGCCTGGGGCAAGCAGCAGATTTACTCTGGTTTCAACCCAAGGTCCGACTAAGACAAGGTATTTTCTTTCCCCATGTTGACTGGGCAAAAGAACATCATCTTGGATTTGAGTAAATATGATAATACATTTTATGTACTATACTTAAACAATTGAACAATACAGTCTGCAAATGAGAGAGGATTTTGCCTTGTATTCCATGGCAAAAGTCTAACATCTCATATTAAAAGTATGAGAAATAGACGGTTAGTGAATTTTCCCAAATGTCCTAAGTAAGGAAACTCTCAGTTTGAAAAATAAGCTCATGCATTTTATAAATGCTACCATCTCAAGTGTGAGCCAGTTGTAAAATGGTTTGTTCCAAATGCTAAAGTTTTTGTGTGCTTTCTCTCTCTTTCTTTCTTTACAATTGCATTACTTTATCTGCACTCTTTGCAGTAAGATTTAGGAAACCACCATGTCTGCTTCTGCCACTACAGAGGAGAATGTTTGCAATCATGTGAAAGTGGTGGTTCGTGTCCGTCCAGAAAATGAAAAAGAGAAAGATGGCAAGTTTAGCAAAGTGGTCCATGTTGTAGACCAGCATATATTGGTCTTTGATCCAAAAGAAGAAGAATTCAGCTTCTTTCATGGGAAGAAAATACTTCATAGAGATATTAACAAGAGGAAAAATAAGGATCTCAAATTTGTGTTTGATGCTGTTTTTAGTGAAAATTCATCTCAAATGGAAGTCTTTGAGCATACTACCAAAACTGTGCTGGATGGTTTTTTAAATGGATATAACTGTACAGGTAACTTTTCAGTTTTACTCCTTCAGTTCACAAAACCAATTCCTCTAAGTGTCTCATGTAAGAACCACCTGTTGTAACTGTTGGCAAAGTAACTGTTACAAAGTAACTGTTGGCAGGTGCTAAGAGAAAGTGATTTATTTTTTTTAACATGTAACAACTAACAATAAAGTTTTAAAGTGAGATGCTTGTTTTTATTTGTATTTTTTTCTTTATGCATACAGCCCCTTTTCTGTAAAAGAATGAATATTGGGATTATAAAAGATTTCAGAATTTCATCTAGAGCACTAGGTACAAATATTGATACCTGTGTTCAACAAAGATTAATTCAAATTGGAATGGGTACAAAGAAGAAATTTGGCTGGTTGGAGATCAGAGTGCCTACCTCATGAGAAGCGACTGAAAGAGGTTGCCTTATTTAGTATAGCAGAACAAATGTTGAGAGGAGATATGATTGATCTATCTTAATACCACAGAAAGGGAAAAGGGCTGTTTATTCTGAATGACATGATGACACAAGAACAAATTATTGTAAATTATCTATAAATAAATTTAGGATAAAAATTAGAAGTAGATTTTTCACTATCAGTGTACTGGAGTTCTGGAACAGCCTTCCACATTGACTAGCATAGACAAAAAAAAACACCCTAATTTTAAGATCGTGCTTGATCATTTTTTTTAAAATGCATATATAATGAAGTCACATCTTATAGCAAGGGACTAGACTTGAGGATCCAGCGGGTCATTTTCAGTCCTAACTGATGGAGTAATATGGTACTAAAATGTTTTTACAATTCAGTGCTTGCATATGGTGCAACTGGAGCAGGAAAAACCTACACGATGCTGGGTTCACCTAAAGATCCTGGAGTGATGTATTTAACTCTGATGGAGCTTTATAATTGCATGGATCAAATAAAAGAAGACAAGTTGTGCACTCTTGCTGTTTCATACTTTGAGGTGAGCTTACACTTACATTGTGCATATTGGACTTAATAAAGGGTGTTTTCCTATATTTGGAAACTAGTGAAGCCTTTCTTGGGCAGCCATTCACAGGTCTGAGAGAATGTGGATGCTTGAGGGAAAATGTTGTAATAGGAATGGAGTAGAACTATACTTTAAAAAGCTGGTGCTGTTTATAAGTTAACGCTTACAGGAGTCTGCTTTAAACCTTTGCAAATTAATTACATTGCCCTGTAAAACACACAGATAGTGTGTACAAAATATCTTTCAAGCAGCTGGTATATTTCAGTGTTGCACAGTACACAAAAGTCTATAAATGGTTTGAAATTGCCTGACTGAAACTGATTCTACTTTTTTCGCTCTGTCACCTATGAGATTTTCCTGTTTTGTTTGGGGTTTTTGCAGTAGGCCTTAAAACAGCTATTTGAAAAAATATGGGACCATTTCAACTGAAACTGCTCTGCCTGTGGATTAGAAAATGAGTCTGTCTGTCTGTATTTGCACACATTAGGCCTGTTAAGAGACTGGCCTCAAGTGGAGTGTGCTGGGGCCAGGACACCTTCCTTTCCACTGCCCTCCTGGGCCTAGGGCTTAGACCAGCAGAGAATGCAGGAACTTCCAACTTCAGCCTGAGCCCCTTGACCTGGAGGTAGCCATGGCATGAATCAGAGTTGGGGGCAGGGTTTGCAGTCACCCAAGACAGAGTTGCACTTCCTGTACTCCTTTCAAAATCCTGAATTTACCTATGCCTATCTCTTACCTATGCCTATCTAGGGATTTGCCTAATTTACAGCAAGCAAAAGGGACTTTTGCTGAATGTGGGCCACTCGCAACGCCCGCAATTTTGTGGTGAGCCTGCCACTTGCTGCTGATTGGCCAAGGGGCCCTGACGGCCATGCTGCTGATTGGCTGAGAGGGCTGTCTGTTGTACTGTCCTGCCCCTCAGTGCTGAATGGCAACCGGCAGCCATCTCAGCCAGTCGACTGAGGGGGGGAAATCATCTTGGCTGCTTCCCTTCAGGCCGGCGGCTTCACCCTCCTCCCCGCCCTCGCCTTGCGGGCTGCAAGGCTGGACCGCAGGGAGCAAGAGAACCGCTAGCTCCCACTGGGGAGCCAGTATTTTTTACTTTGTCAGGTTTTGTGTGGTTTGTTTGGTTTTGTTTTTGGGTTTTTTCATGGATTTTTGAAAACAATGCCCAATTTTGTAGTTTCTGCAAAATCATGACTTAAGTAAGTCCCTATGTATCACTGTGAGCAGCAGGAGGAGCAACAGTATCCAAGTGAAATGAATGTGTGAACTTCCAGCTCCTCTAAGTAGGATCTTTATTCCGTGTAGTTATGTGTTGTTACATTCTACTTAAAGTTATTCACTGAAGAAAAAGAACTGCACTTATTCTGCACTGCACAAGCTTTTATTCTTTCCAACAGCCTCCATCCTTTCACAAAGCCATTGCAATATTGTCACTTTTGATTTCTTGGCACTTTTTTCCAAAGTGCTAGCGCATATGGATTACAGTTATCAATATGTTTGAACTACAGATTCTGAAGCCTGTTGTAAGACTCAGATCTAGTTGTAAGAGCACATATATGCAACTAACACTTGTGAGATAATCCTAATACCTATGTAAATTGATAAGTATTAAAGACTGGATGAACTGAATGTTAAATTCCAGAGGAAGATGGTCTTTGGCTGCAACTTTGCCAAATTTAATTAGATTTTAAGGCATGTTAAGCTAACACATAAGCACTCATGTGAAAATGGTACAAAATTATTTTGTCTAATCAGGTTTAATCTTGCTAAATAGGGGATATTTGATTTTTAAGGGTTATTTAAATGTCTTTTGAAGGTCTACAATGAACAGATCCGTGACTTGCTAGTAAATTCAGGACCTCTGGCTGTCCGTGAAGATGCTCAAAGAGGGGTATTAGTTCAAGGATTAACATTACATCAGGTATGTAGATAACATGTTTACTTTCCTTACACCTGTCATCTGAAGATCTTCCAACTCTAACTTCACAAAACCCTTACGATAGCAGTGAAGGAACATCTCTTTCTACAAACTTGGAAAATAAAATAGAGACTAAAAGCTAGATCCAGCACAGAGTTTAGGTGCCTACAAATTGGATTCTATAGCTCTAACTTTTAGATGCATGGCCCTCAGAATAGTATCTGAATTCCAAATTTGGGCTTGGGGTCCCTACATGATTCATAGAGAGAGTGAAGTGAGTCAGGGAGTGGATCCAAAAAAAACACTTTAAGGTGTGATGAGATCTTACCTGCAATCCCAGTGATCTTGCCTGTTGCCATACCATGCATGCATAGCAGGATGTGCAATTCTGAGACTGAGAATTAGATCCCACTCATGCCTTACTTGTTAATGCAAGGGGAGCCCAGGACCATGATCCCAGACTCCTCTGCACCAGCAAGTTAAAAGCAGATACCTGTGACAACTGATTGTCAGCTGGGAACCGGGACTGAACTGGTGTCTGGAACTGGCTGATTGTCAAAACCCCTAGCACACAGTTTTATAGGCTTTGAAGCATGGGGACCATGCTTCAGGTTGCCGCTGTCTATCCTGAAGTCCCTCTTCACTGGGATGAGTGTTTTAAAAAAAAAAAAAAATGTGCTGCCCAGCTGGGTGGCATACCTGGTTTTGTAGGTCCTGGAGCATGGGAGCCTGGGATCAGTCTGGGGCCAGTGCTGAGATGAGTAAAAACTGTGTGATGCCCAACGGGGCTGCACATGTGGTTTTTACAGATCCCAGTATACAGGGACCTCCTAAAAAATGTAGGCACAGCTGGGCATCTCGGGATAAGTGCACAGGGACCTCAGGGTCAGGAAGACACTCCTTGATCCCAGGGTCCCCATTCACTGAGAATATCAGCGTTGCTCCGGCTGGTTTCTGGAGCTCAGTAAGCCTTAGCAGGAGCTACCTACCCTGCTGCTGTAGACAAAGTTGGTGTCTGAGCATGCACAGAAACAGAAATAAAGAAAAACCTACTGGGAAATATTCAGGTCAAACCTCTAGAGAAGTTAGTCAGCTGGTGAGCAAAGGATTTTTGGATTGTAGTTTTGGACTAGGATGTGCAGATTGCCCACCCTATTTTTGTCTTACAATGAGGAATTTTAGGATATGATTTTCTTTGGTATATTATTGAATTGTTGTTGTTCTTTCGCCAGTTAATTCATCAGTAGACCTCTTTACGGTGCAAGCTAGCCCAGGTCCTTTTGGGGTTGGCTGTATCAGCCTCTTGTCAGCTCAGATCAAATGTTGAACTTCATCTACTTTAGTGAGTTTCAGAATGTTGTAGCACCTTTCATAATTCCCAGCACAGTCGTTTTGAAGCAGTCGTTTTCTGGGGAAACTTGAAAGAGGTTCTGGGATATTTCAGCCAGAATATCCCAGGAAAAGCTGATCAGAAACCCACCTGAATTGCATTGGTCATTCGTTGGGATAGGAATGGGAAACACTAACCCAATGAAGTTCTTGCACCGATGATTTCTTGTTACATTGACAAAGCAGTGGAAGAGACTCACTAGTTGTTTTCTTGAAGTCTAGCTTAACAGCAACTGAAAAACTCGTGTATGAATGCAAGGTGATACCATTGCTGAGGAACAAATTGCTACTCCAATAACTTTGCTACTCAAATAGCTACTCAAATAACTTTGTGGTATAAACAGGGCAACAGACACTGAAGAGTACAGACTCCAACTATCCTGCTTTAACCAGCAGGTTACAATTATTATAGACAACATGAGTAGCAAAACCTGTAAGTATGATTTCCTGGTGGTCCCCAGTACAAGATACTGTTTTCAGTTACTTACAAGTTGTGCCAAACTTCAAGCTTTAGGGCTAAAATTTCCCATTTGAGCGTATGCTTTGGAAGAATTCAGCAAAAACAAAAAAACTATACGGCCATTTCTCAGAACCACTTCAGGAGAGAAATAACGCTAAACTTTTACAACTGTTGCACTGAGAATTCTAGAATATCAGGGCTTTGAAGAAGGCTTATGAAATTTGGCTGGGGAGGGTTGCCTAGGTTCCAGGCATATGCTTTCTGTTATCCCAATAACAATCTGAAAATTTGGCTGAATTCTCAATTCACACATGGTAAGAATCTGGGACATAGACAAGGACAGTTCAGAGCAGCCAAGGGCTGAAGGTATTGAGTTCTTTTCCAGCCTCCCTGACTGAAAAACAGCCATTAGAATAAACTTTCCTCAGTCTTGAATATGGCCAAGATTGTTCCTATTATAGCATGTGTTTGCTGTTTATATCTGTAAAACTGTCAGACAAAGTGTGCATCTCAGATTTTTCTTTTGGGGTGAACCTGACAGAAAATGACAACCAATTGTTGCTCTGTTAACGGAAGGTCTGGACAGTGTCTCTACTTTTTCACCATGTGGAGCCATACTGATTCTCACATAGAAGATAGAAAATTACACCCAAAAAAGCTTTAAAAAATAGAAAAGTATGTATGCCATGTCAGTTTCTTAAAAATTAGTAAATGTCAGAAATAAGTTTGTCTCTGTATCCTGAATTTGCTTCTTCCTCTCGTACTGAGATAAAAAGCTGGAATAGAAGTAACTTCATGGGTCAGATCTACAGATCCAGCAACAACTGCAGTAGATCCACATTGACACAGCAGTGCAGGTCTACTGCCAATGACCATGTCAATCACAGTTCCTGGATTCTGAATTCTGTGGCAGGCCTTTCCTCCCAGTTTCAAGTAGCCCACCAGACAGGACAGTTCCATGAGCTGTATCTGGCCCACAGGCCATATATTGACACCCCTGCTTTAAATAACTTCCCTGGCTTCACATACAAATTTTGTGGCTGAGGCCAAAATAGTTCAGTTCTCCAGGGGTGATAACTGCGTATTCTACAAACCATACCCTCTCTTCTCGCAACCCCATCTCTGTTTCATTCATTGCAAACTACTTCAGCAACAAATGAGGCAATGGTCCTACAGTGAGTAGCCTCGTTTATTTCATTTCCTGCGTATCATCTCTCCTGTGCAATGAATGAGGCCTGGGCCCTGTGGAAAAAAAATTGTATGTGATCATTTAACTGGTGCAGGGGTGGACAATTATTTGGGCCCACAGGCCACAGGATTTTTGCAGAGCTGTCACAGGTCAAGTCAGCATCCCCCCTCCTCTACACAACAGCTTACCAGAACTCCCTAAGTGGGATGGGGCTGCGGGTGGGCAGGGAACTGGTGCCTTGGATCAGCAGCTACTCCAGATGAGCAGTGGGCAGTAGGGGCAGCTCGGCTGGTGCCCCTGCTGCCACCAGCACCTCCTCCAGGCCGCCCCAAGGCCCAGTACCTGGCAGGGAGGTGGCAGTGGGGAGGAGCCGCTGGGCAGCCCTGCTGTGGGCTCTGGGCGGCCTCAGCGAGAAGGGCTCTGGCAGCAGTGAAGGGGAGGGAGCCTTACTGGCAGGCCCTCTTTCCTGGTCCCCAGGAGCAGCTTCTGGCTAGCCACTGTCTCTGCACCTGAGCAACCCCGATGAAGCTGGGCAGCAACATGAAGTCGAGCAGTAGCTCCAGCCCCTCTTCAGGGTAGAAAGGTACCTCCATCTTCATAGCCGCCCACCTGCCACTGCAACTTATCGTGGTTGCGGCAGGTAGGTCTAGAGTGGGCACTCAGCCTGGGGCTTGGGCCCTGTCCACAAGGGTCCCAGCCAAGGATCTTGGTGTCGTGATAGCGCAGGGCCAGGGTCTGGAGCAGAGCAATGATCTGCTCTCTGCATGTCTCTGCCCACAGAACTAGGTCTCTGCCTTGTTTCAGCCCCAGCCCCTCTCTGTCACTAGTCCAAGATCCCGGGGTCTCCCCAGCCCTGCCCACCTGTCTTGCTCCTGGATGCTGCTCCCTGCTGCCCTACAGCCCCATTCTAGCCACCTGGCTGAGTGCCTTGCCTGTGTGGGTCCTGTCCCCAGCAGTGGGTGTAGGATGGCCAGGCTGGGGTGCCCAGGCAGTGGGGCCGAGTCCAGCAACAGCAGCTAGAAGGAGCCACCACCACTAAGGCTACTAGGACATAGAGTCCAGCCGGAACGCCGTCCCAACCCTGCTGTGTGCCCAGGGGTGGCAGGACTGGCCCAAGGGGAGTGGAATACACCACTGCCTGGGCTGCCCCTACTGAGGGACCCACCGCAGGCCCAACAAAATCTCTTGGATGACTAGATTCGGCCCACAGGCCATATTTTGCCCAACCCTGAATTACAGTGTATCATATGCATACATACATGGGGCTGAACTATTGTTGCACAAGTCTTCATTTAGATGCCTCGAACTTCCAAGAACTTGGTTTTGCAGCTCTAATATTTTTTATACCTTGTTTTCTATTCACTTAGAAATTATTTTACTGCAGAAATCCAAATACATACTCTGTATGCACTTTAATTTTTAGTTTAAAAAAAAAAGTTTCAAAACAAGAAACTTGTACCTTGCTTACTGAGTTCTGAGTGTGTTTTCTATTTTTAATAGCTTTTTTTATTTTTCAGATGATTCTCTAACAAACATTGCATATCAACTATGTGTAAATCTCATATTATGAATTTCTTCCATGTTCTTTCAATACTTTGTAGCCTAAATCTGCAGGGGAAATCCTTCAACTGTTGGATCATGGAAACCAAAACAGAACACAGCACCCCACTGATGTAAATGCCTCCTCTTCTCGGTCCCATGCTGTCTTTCAGGTAAGATGATATAGCATTTACAGGCTGATATGAATTTTAGATAAACTCCTGTCTTTTTTAACTAAGCTTCAAAATGGCTATGGGACTGTGGCAATTTAGTCTTAATAACTTAAGTGGGAGGAAAGAAATCCCATCCATTTTTACTATTGTCATCCTCTAATCTCTTGCCTGTATAAATGTTCAAAAGTAGTTATCTATGGGAAAAGCTCAAGTCAAGCATCAAAAGTGACAGTCCAGTTTCAATACTGTATGTTATCATTAATCCTCAAAGGAAGATCTTCGCAGAAAAGATATTTCAGGTCCTAGCTGCACTATATAACTCAACAAATCTATTGCTTTTTTGTACGGTCTTGAAAATATCATTGCTCTCTAGGGGTATTTACAGACATGCTCTGGGAGGCATGGGGAGGTGCTTTAATTAGTGCAGATCTGAGAGCCACGCTAATTAAAAGCGCCTGGAGTATCACATGTATCAACATCCCCATCTTGGAAAATGGTGATGGAGCACTTTGAACTAAAGCTCATCGAACAAGCTTTAGCTTAAAGCTCCCCACTGCCATTTTTCAGCATTGGGATGCTCATACATGTGATGCTGGAGTGCAGTAATTGTCACACTCCAGCAGACTCAATTAATCTGACTCAATTAAGACTAATTACAACACATCCGAGCGTTATTATGTGTGTGTATTTACCTTTCTGTTTATAAATTACTAAAACGTATATGTACTCTTTCACACCCTTCCTAAGGATAATCGCCTAAAAAACGTTAATTATAACTTTGAAACTACCAAGCTTGCCTAATATTGTATTGGCATTCATTCATTGTTACTAATGAATTGTATGAAACAATGCATTTTTAGAAATGGAAAATTTCCCACGGAAAAATAAAGCACTGGAAAATTTTCCGCCCCACATCTTTGGTCACTAAACTGTAAACAGTGAGCAGTAAATGGTATAATCATTGTTTAACTGTTCACATCCCTAATTCAGAGAAATCTAGATGTTATGTGATCACTAAGTATGTCAAGCAAACTTGTTTTTATTTTGGATCTAAATACTAATCTTCTCTTCCCACTGCTTTTCGATTATTTAGGGTTATTGTCTCTTTGGTAATTTATTGTCTCTCTCTACTTCTGTGAAAATTTGTTTAGTCAATTATTACCACTTAAAATAGCATCCTATCAGTCTTTCTCTCTTATTATCTTAATATCGTCCCAATCTCAGCTAAGAGGATCTATTTTAATTTTGTTTCTTGCCTCACTTTCAACTTTTTTAAAGTTTGCTTGAAATACATTTTAAAAAATACAGTTGCATTGCAATATTCCCGAATATTCTTCAACATACGTCCTGCCATGGACTGATTTATGTTCCAAGGTATGCACTCTTAAAATTGGCGTGATGCTTTCAGAAGCTGATGTGTGACAAAATAGATATCAATACCAATAGAAACTCCAGAACCCTATAAAATATGAATAATTTATACATTTGTTTTATTGAAGCAAGGGAAATAAGAGTAAGTTACTGCATTTGAATAACTCTTACAACCGTGATTAAAACTTCACACGTGCAGTAGAACCTGGATACTTTGAAGGGCTAGGTTGCTTACATCCCTGCAAAGATGACGAGTTTCAAGATAACTTGGGGGGCAGTGTATAGAGCTGCAGCAAACATCCACAGGGAACTTTCGAGGTGATCTAGCTATTTGCTCTAGCTGTTAACTCCAAAAGTGTTGCTTCTTCACTGAGCTAAAGAACAATATTCATTGCATACAGCTGATCAGAAAAGCTGACATGCCATCTTTTACCTAGGCAACCTCCAAATTACGCAGGATAGAGTGTAATCAAGCTACTCAGTAGAACCTATGTATGATTGATGCTGTTTAGCAACACTTTTGGCATTAAATGTTTTATGTTTAAAATTGCCAGAAGTAGAATACACATTTGTCTTTGAGATAAATAGCAAAGCAAATCTTTATAATGTATATTTTTTTTTCCTTTCTGAGAAATGTTTTTGGAGTTCTTCTCATGTCCCTGTTGTGCAACGTAGCACTGGAGCATACAAAACGCACTGTGTACCTTAACCACTTTGCATTTCTATACAAAAGTGATAGTCAGATAGCCAAATTCAGCAAGGCGTGCTAAGTACAAACATTCGAAAAGCCAAAGGCAGAAGCACTCTAAGTATTGTGCTTTACTCAAAGTGCACTAAATTAGCTTGAGACTGAACAGAACAAATGTACTGTTTGGGGGAGGGGAGTGGGGGTTGGAGCCTGTGAGGCCAGCAGCCTGGAGGTGCTCCAACATGCCTTCCAGGAGGCTGCAGGAGAACGCCAAGCCCACCTAAGCAGTTGGCCTCCCTGATTGCCCAGTGTGGCTCCTCTTCAGAACCCTGCTCCCCCTGCCAAAGGGAAGGCAGCCCTGCTGCTGTGCAGACCCCTGCACCATCCCTTGGCCACAGTTCCTAGTGCAGGAAGCCAGCAAGCTTATGGGAGAGAGCGCAGCAGAGGGGCTCCTTTCCCCCAGCTGCAGCTCAGGACTGTGCTGCTTTTTGCTGCACTGGGGACTGTGGCTGGAGGAGGGGGAAGGAGCCACTCTACTGCACAGACCTGGTCTGGCCAACACCAAGGCCTGAGCCAGCAAGCTGGTGGGGCTTCTTTCTCCCACCCTGGCTATAGTTCCCCACGCAACAAAAAGCAGTGCAGCTCTGAGCTGCAGCTCCTGGCTGCAGCTGGGGAAAAGGAACCCGCCACCATGCAGACCTGACCTGGCCTGATTTCCCTACCTGACCTAAGACAGCAAGCTGGGCCAGGTAAGCACAGCAGGCGAGCTCTATTCCTCTGTCAGCCTGCCCTGGCTGTCAGTGACAGCCCAAGGGTGAGGCCTAGTCCAGCTCTCATGCAGAGCAGAAGAGCTTTGGCAGAAGCTAGAGCACTGCCCTGTGAGGAGGGATGAGCAGGGTGTCATAATGCTGCATGGGATGCTGGCAGAGTACAACCTACCGTGACTCACAATGGGATGTTAGATGAAATGCTCTAACTTAAAGTGCTTTAGTCTGATACCCCATCCATCCAGGGCTAACTTAGAGCTGGATCCACCTCTTGTAAAGCACTCTATGTGTCATGAATGGCTGTTTGGTTAGGGCTGTAGCGTGGTTTCTGCATGCTTAACACATAAGTGAACTTCTGTACCGAGCCTTTGAGATCCATGAACATTAGATTGGATGTTAGAATTCCTTATGAGGGAAGCGACCTTATACCAACATTTATTCTTTGTTTAATCAGCTTCAAAGAAGCATATTTGTTAAGTACCCAGGACTCTATCTTAATTTATAGTTTACTGAGATATGGTGACAGAGTGACTCATCTGATTGTCTAAAGATGCCGTCAACATATTTCTATACTTATCAAAAACTTTTTTCCACTTTTATTACAACCACCCTCATCCAATTATCCCTTGCATATGAGAGAGCTTAAAAATTTGTTCAGGTTTACTTTGTCTTTTTAGAAGATCTTTTCAATATAGTCACCAGTTCATTGGCTTTTTGTTCTGAATTTTTTTATTAGTTACATGAACTATTTTTAAAAAGAATGTGGGGGGAGATTAATTCCATCTTATTCATTTTAGGGCCATGGCTATTTAAGCATCTTTTCATAGAGTGCATTCATAGCAAAAATAAGCCAAGCTAATTGCATGCTTGGGACTGTACCTAATTGGGTGGTTGTGTATAAGCATCCTGGTTCAGAAGTTCTTAATTGTACCTATATTTCTTATCTCATACACTTCTATATGTAATAGTATGAGTATTCATTACCCTTTTTAGACCAACAAGTATGATCATTATAAGCTGTAATTTATTGGTTCAATTTGTTTGAGTAGGTAGATTCTGGACCCTCAATCTAATTGCTATGGGGGGGGTGTGTGTGTGTGTGTGTGTGTGTGTGTGTGTGTGTGTGTGTGTGTGTGTGTATATATCAGAATTTACAGTATAGGAAACCCTCACTATTTGCAGGTTTGGCATTCGCAGTTTCAAGTATTTGCAAATGCCGAACCTGCTTCTTAAATACGCTTAAAGGAGCTCCTTGGGAGCTCCGCACTTGCTGCCGCTGGGCTCCTGCCGCCATCGCCAGAGCAGCCATGTCCCCCGCCCCACCTGCCGGGGGCGCTGAGTTCATGAACACAGTGCCTTATTTGCGGATTTCGCCATTCACAGGGGATGTGTTCTCGTATCCCCCGCAAGTGGCTAGAGTTGCCTGTAGTTGAGAATGCCCCTCCACTGTCAGTTTTGCAATGTTGATTTTATTGGTAAAGATATGCCACATGAACTAAACATGTTTGCAGTGAAGGGATTTTGCACTTACTCTTTACCTAAATGGGCTAGTTTAAGCTTTATTTGTACTAAGAATTCACTGATAATTGTTTTTTCTGCTGTTGCTAACACTAGTTGAGCTCCCACATAGTTAGTAATGCTGGTAGAGCTAGCATAGACAAGGAGTCTTGTCTGCTTATGTTTGAAGGTTGTTGGTCTTGTGGGAAATTCTCACAAAAATTACCCATTTTGCACCATAAGAAATTCGTTATCTCCATGCCATATCTATCCTTATCAGTATTTTGCTATCTCAGACGCATTTTTATAATCATTCAGATCTGCATATTACAAACAAACCTAGAATCAGATTTAGATATCACTCATCTGCTACTCTCTCCTGAATTAAAGTTGGGAAATGAGGAAGTGACCATGCCACTTTTCAATTCCTTCTCTTTCTCATTTTTAATTTTCTGTGTTTTCAAGGGCTGTTCTGATCTATAGGCAATAGTCAGATCTTATTGAGGGTGTAGGATGTGATTGGGATGGTATTTCTAAGTCATAAAAATCATTTAAACCTGGAGTAGGAGGACTGCCTCAATCTTTTTGATAGGGAAGGCTCTTTGAGGCTAGTAAGACAAGTTCAACATTGTTTAACTCCAGTATCAGCTTTGGAAGTGAATGTATCAAGTCATTTTTATGCTCTGAATAAGCTACATTAAAGTTGTCCAACCTGTCCAGATCAAATGAGTCTGATACCAAAGATCCAGCACCACTGACAGAGGAACCACTTGCAAAAATGTCTAGATCAGGAGATTTCAGAGCCAAGGTGCACATTGTAATGACTTTGGGGGATACCTATTCTGTAAATTAATGTGGTACATGAATTTTTTGTGTTGATGAGTCAACACCAGTAACTCTGTACTGCAAAAATAATAAAGAAGTTTTCAAATTTATATTAAAACAACCAGATAGAGTGCCCAAGAAATCCAAATACAAAGAGCTTTTCAGTAAATGTCTGGCTTAGAAAAGCAGCCATGACAAATATTTTAGTACCCTTGGCAATGTCTGCAGTTTGGCACTCAGGAAGGTGTGCATTGTTCTAGTTCTTGGAGTAGTGTGTGAAAAAGTATGATGCATCTATTTTCCCACTAATGTATGGTCCTTGAAGTTGTCATGCTTAAAAAATACTGTTTCTAGAAAGCTTTCCTATTCAAGTGACATCTTTCACCCAGTCTCTGTTGGGCTGGTTCTAGATATACACACATCTCCAGTACTATAGAACATCTTAGTCAGTGTTTCTGGTTGTGTAAGAAGCTTCACTGAAAGAGGAGTAAGCTACTCATTGATCCTTTCTCCTCTCCTTAGTTATCAGAAATCTCAGATGGTAGATTAGAGTATTCCCTTCCTTCAGTTCTTTCTTCAGCAATGTGTGGTGCATCTGTTCAAATATTTGTCAGATTATTCTGTAAAATAAACCTGGTGTAAAAACGGCTTTCCTTGCAGCCATAACTTAAACCTACACTGACTTGATGAGACACTATCCTTTTAATTGATCGTGTATATGTACTGGGCATTGTAGAGCAAATGTGGTATTTTAATTTTAAATTTTCTGTCTGAAGTAGTCTCTTGCATGTTTTTCCCTCCAGGCTCCTAGCTTTCCAAAGAAGGGCAGGGCATTTAGTACTCATTGAACTCTCTCAAATGGAAATATGCAGGGGTACCTCAAAGAGGAAGAGAAGGTACGGACCAGTAACTGTAATTCTCAGTGTTGACTCGGTATATTCCTGCTCCCTACTTTTCTCAGAAACCTGGGAGAAGAATTCCTGAGTTAATGGAAGAAACTGAAGGCATTTGGGTCCCTCCCCCTCTTGTACCTTCAGAGCCCTGTATAAGGGAAAGGGGTAAGGAGGAGCTAGTGGCCCTAATGGACACGGTTCTCTAGAAGATTCCCAAAGTTTTGTGGCAGTGGTGCCTTGATTCTACAAGTATGAACGCAGAGGCAATACTCCTGAACTACAGTTACTGGCAAGTAATTTCTCTTTATGGAAGAATGAGAAGGCAGTCCATACCCATGGACTAAAAGATGTACAGTCTTTTTTGGAAGAGACTTAGTATGTAACACACATCTTAAAGGCAGACAAGAAGCCTTTTTAGTCACAAAGCTACAAATCTGATTTGAAAGTGCAGTGTTTCTTTAGCAGGATAAGCTTGACTTGTCTCCTAAAGTATAGCAAAGAATTTTTTTGAAAATTTAAGTGCTCCTTCCCACTCTTCCAAATAACTTTTGTATGTATAGAGAGAGAAGCAAGTCAAGGAAGAGGACTGTGAACAGCTATCAAACCCTAGAAATTTCAACCTCTAAATAAGAACTATTGCTTGGAAATAAGGAGGGACTTGCTGGGTTGCATGTTTTGGGAGAGAAGGTCTTGTTGATTTTTGTTTTGTTTTACCCTTCACTTTTTTTTTCTTTATAGATTTATTTAAGGCAGCAAGATAAAACTGCAAGTATCAGTCAAAATGTTCATATTGCCAAAATGTCCCTCATCGACTTGGCAGGGTCTGAGCGTGCCAGTACCACAAATGCCAAAGGAGCCCGTTTTAGAGAAGGAGCAAACATTAACCGTTCCCTGCTGGCTCTTGGAAATGTCATTAATGCTTTGGCAGATCCAAAGGTAGGTACTCTTTCCTTTTCCCCCTCAATACCTATACCTCATGCAAGTTTTTTATTTCAAATACTATTTGGTGTGAGTTGGTGTCATCTTTTCTTCGTATACTGTTCAGTATTATACCACATCTGATTACAGTATCAAATTGTATTCGTAACATAAGAATTGCCATTTACTGGGTCAGCTGTAGGTCCATCTTGCCCATTATCCTGCATCACAGCGGCAGAGAGTGGATGCTAAGAGGCAGAGTGAACTGGGTGGATTTGACCAGGGTTTTTTTCAACTTTTCCTCTCTCACTTGCAGCCTCCAGGGTTTAAGGTCTAGGACATTCTAATTTAGAGGCTGTATCTCTAACTCCCATGCTTAATAGCTACTGATGCCCCTTTTCCTCCAATAATTTGCCCACTCCCTTTTTGAATCTGGCTAAACCATCAGCTTCTACAACATCTGTTGGCAATGAGTTCCACACTTTTAATTATATGCTGTGTGAAAAAGAACTTCATTGTGTTAGTTTTAAACTTACTACCCACTCATCTCATTTTAAGCCAATTTCTAATCCATAAATGGACATTCCCTGTCCATTCCATGATTACCTACCTTACTTAATAGCCTCTGATGTGGGACCTTGTCAAAGGCTTTTTGGAAGTCCAAATATACTATGTCAGTTGGATCACCCTGATCTATCTGCTTATTTGACACCCTCAAAGAACTCTAGTAGGTTGGTGAGACATGATTTCCCTTTGACAAAGCCGTGATTCCTCCCCAGCAAGTCGTATTTATCCAAGTGCTGAACAAGTCTCCTTTATTATTGTTTCTGCCAACTTTCCAGGAACAAGAGTTAGGCTTTCTAGCCTGTAGTTTCCTGCATCCCCTCTAGAGCCTTTTTTTACATATTGAAATCCCATTGACAACCCTCCAGTCTTCTGGTACTGAGCCTGTTTTTAGTGATAGCTTGCGTACTACAGTTAAGAGCTCAGCAGTTTCCAATCTGAGCTCCTTCAGGACCATAGGGTGAATGCAATCAGGTCCCAGCAACTGGCTACTATTTAGTTTATCAAGTTCCTCTACAACCTCGTCCGTTGAAACCACAGTTTGGGTCACCTCCACTGACTTGTGCCTAGAGAGGAGTGGATCTGGTGAGGAAATCTCCCTAATGTCTATAGTGAAGACCGATGCAAAGAATGCATTTCATTTCTTGGCAATGGCTCTATCATTCTTTAGCGCATATTTTACATCCTGATCATCCAAAGGCCCAACAAACTCCCTGCCAGATCTTTGGCTTCTATGTACTTAAAGAAATTTTTATTGTTACCTTTTGCATCTCCAGTAAGTTTCTCCTCGAGTTCTTTCTTAGCTTGTCTTATTACAGTTTTACATTTGATTTGCCAAAGTTTATGCTTTTTTTTTTTTTTTTTCTTCCTCTCATTAGGATTTGACTTCCATTTTTTGAAAGAAGCTTTTTTTTTTTCTTTCTTCTTACCTCTGCAACTCCGCCATTAAATCACGCTGGTTTTCTTTTAGTTCACTTTCCTTTTTTTTTTTTTTTTAATTGCTATGTGCATTTGCTCTGTGCCTACAGTATGGTATTCTTAAGCAGCCCCTTGCAATTTGCACACTCTTTGCCTCCTTAGGGGAGACCCTTTTAACTTCTGTCTAAATAGCTTCCTCGTTTTGGTGTAGTCTCCCTTTTAAAGTTAAAAACGATAGTGACAGACTTTCTTCTCATCTCCCTCCTATGTGGATGTCAAACCCAACTGCATTGTGGTCACTATTGCACCATGGCTCAGTAATACTTACCCTTTGTACCAGTGCTGGCAGCGGTAGGGGGAGAGGCTGCTTTTCCCCCACACTGAGCAGCAACTTCTGCCTGGCTGCTACCACTGCACAATGTGGGTGCGTGAGTCTGGAGCAGGCTGGGGCTGAGGCTGTGTGCGCCAGGT